GCTTCGTCTGGGTGCAGAAAGAAGGAAGGCAGCTGATGCTCCACTAGCGACTGCCTCAGTGCCAGCAACCTGCCTGTGCTGCTGTTGGTGCCGTGGGTCTCTTTTCCTGTGTGCCCTTCTCGGCTCCCTCGGTTGCTGACTCTTCGCCATCTGACCATCTGCCTTGCTCTGCCCCCGCAGCCACCATGCATTCCGGCTTGCTGACGCTTGCAGTGTCACTGGGTGCCCATCTGGCCCGGCCCTTGGGATGGTTAGACTCCCGCCTTCTACAGCTTCCCTGACCTCTGCTCCCTGGCTGCCCTGTGCAGATTCTGTGCCCCTGAAATCCTCATTGCTGCTTTTGACCTGGTGGGATAGTGATGAGGTTTGGCCTGGCGAGAAGGCCCCCAGCTTTTGTAATTAGCGTAGCCACATCAAGTAAGCACTATTGGGTGGATGATTAGAAAAAAAAATCTTTTTCTAATCTCAACATTTATTGTTCTAAAGCTATCTACTTAAGTATTTTTCTCTCCTAGATGGAGAGTGTTCTGAGGGCAAGGACTGGATTTATTTATCTTTACATTCAGGGTGCCTAGAATATAGAAGTTACTGGTCCAACTGTGGCTGGGGAATGGGAAGGAAAGTGTATGGAGGATGATGCTCTGATGTCAGCCTCCTGGGCTGACCCTGAGGAAAGGAGGAAATGAGGGCATTTATCATTGCCAGTCTCACTCTTCCATTGGCAGGAGTAGCCTCTGGGTAAAGCAGGGAGTTGCTCAACCTTGGCCTTGACTGTAAAAACCTCTGAGTCTTGCTGGACACATCACTGCCACCTCATCCTCTTTCCTGTCCCCCCACCCCCAACCTGTCCATTGTGCCTGCAGTGCCCCCAGGGAGAGATTCTTTTGCACTAACAAGCAAACACTAGAGAGACAAGAAAGGCAATAAATCTGGGAGCAAGGAGCAAAGCTGCAGGCCCAGTGCACAGGGTACACAGCGCAAGGGAAGCTCTCTGATGTCAGGACACAACAGCTCTTTCATTTCTCTGCTTTCTTATTTCTTTTTTAGATTATAAAAGTAATATATGTTCACAGAGAAAAATACAACATTATAAAGGCCTTCTGTCTTCCCCATTCTACTCCCTAATGCTAACTAGCGTTAACAATTCCTGAGAGACCTTCTGGAAAAGTGCTAGTGTACAAAAACATGTCTATATACAACTTGCATATACAAAAATGTGTGTGTATTCACATGCAGATAGACAGATAGACAAATAGAATTTGATGGTGTTATTGATAGAAGGGGAAAATGGTGGCCCATTAATATAAAGTAAGAAGGTTGAGTTAAAGGTAGACTTGAAGAGGCAGTTGATGGGCCAGGCTGGAGGACCTGAGGAGAAGTGAGGGAACACAAGTATGGGAACGGGGTGGGGCAGAAGTTTAAAATACTTTGCAAAGACAATTTGCAGTGGGCCTGGCACAGTGGCTCATGCTTGTAATCCCAAGACTGAGAGGCCAAAGTGGGTGGATTGCTTGAGCCTGTGGGTTCAAGGCTATGGTGAGCCGTGATTGTGCCACCGCACTTTAGCCTGGGTGACAGAGTAGACCACTGACTCAAAAAAAAAAAATTTTTTTTTTTGAGTTGGAATCTCACTCTGTTGCCCAGACTGGAGTGCAGTGGCACACTCACAACCACCTCAGCCTCGACCTGCTGGACTCCGGCGATCCTCCCGCCTCAGTCTTCCAAGTAGCTGGAACTACAGACACGCGCTATCATACTCAGCTAATTTTTTATTTGTTGTAGAGATGAGGTCTCGCCTAGTTGTTTGGGCTGGTCTCAAACCCGCGGGCTCAGGCAATCCACTTGCCTCAGCCCTCCAAAGTGCTGGGATTATAGGCTGAGCCACTGAGCCTGGCCAAAAAAAAAATATATTTTTTGCAGTGTAGGAGGAGGTGAGCAATCCAATATCTGGTTGACCTCAGTTTCCTTAACTAAAAAGTGGGATACTATTGTACATTCCTCACAGGTTTATAGTGAAGAATAGTTGGAGTTAATAGATGTAAAGTGCTTAGCACAGTGCCATGCCTCCAACATCCTAAATATTATCTCGGTGTGTCACTGTTGTTATTGTTAGGGTGCTGCTGTTGTTGCTGTTTTCAGAGTGCCTTGCATGGTGCCTGGCACATAGTGTGCGCCCTTCTGAGAGTGCTCCTCTTGTCATTTTTGGAATCCATTCTTTTGTCACAATGTTGCTGCTTCTTTTTCCTTCTTTGACTGCTTCTAGCTTCTTATTTAATGTGTTTACGCTTGAAGAAAACTTTTTGGTACCTGGTGGACCTAAATCCTTGAAACTATGTGGGGATATTTTAGGTAGCAAAGCCCACTGCCCATTTTGTGACTTCATCTCCCCCAGCCTGGTCCCAAGCTGTTGCACATGGTTTGAGCGGGGACATCTCTTTATTTGCTACACTTTATGCGTACTTCCTGAGGATATCAAGTTGAATTTCTTACTTAAGAAAAATGCCCAAGACTCATTAGGTCTACTCCTGTTCATTTTCTGCATTTTAATAGCATTGACCCTGTAACTCCTCTTGAGACATTTTGAGATTGTGATTCTGTTCTTATGGGATACTCTGTGTTTCTACTTGTATTTAGAATGGCTGGCTCAAAACTCTTAGTTTTAATATTCTGCAACCCGAATGCTCTAAATTGTCAGTAAAACTAAACCAGCCTACACACACTTTTATTTCTGATTTATAAATAGGTTCAGCTGCCTAACAATTACACATAATCTATTTTGCACACATTCCTTAAGGAGACATTTAGAGGGTAGATGGCTTTTACTCCTGTGAAGTTATCTGGAAACCATCTTCTTAACTCCCCCACCCCCCTGCCCGCCCCAAGTGGGCATATTTTGAGGGATGGGTGATGCGACTTTTGGCTCTGAAGCCCAAGCCACAATCTCCAACATGCACAGGAAATCCAGGATCAAATTTCTAAATGATCTTCACAGGGACAGGCCCAGGACCGGCTTGTGCGTGTCAGAGAGGTGTGCACTGCGTACTTTCTATCATACATGGCCACACATGCCTGTGGCTGTGAGAAGTACTGGTGACAAAGACAACAAGATGCCAGAGACAAGAAAGATCCATAGGTTCTGAGAAGGCGGTGAAGAGACCATCTTAGGTATAGTTTAGAACTTAGTAAGGTTGAAGGAAAGTGAGGACATTGCATATACTAAGGCCCATGAGGGATCTGTCTGGCAACCTAGAAAGAGGCATGTAGGGAAAAACGCCTTAGGTTAACCAGGTCAAAATTTCCATTCTGGGCAGTACTGGAAACTGAATAATAATACTGAGAACACCGAGTATTATATAGCACTTCCAGCTATGGCATTTCGTTTATTTCTCCATATAATGCAATAAGCTCAGTGGATTACAAACCGTCACTCTTTTACAGATGGAGAACATGGAGCCAGGGGAATGAAGAGACGTGTCAGTTGAAGCATCTGTCTAGGTTCTAGCACTCTGACCCCGCCCTGCTTTCTCCTGTCCAGTTGGCTTCACCTGCAGGGGAATGAGCTCTGACACCAGTTTCAGTCTAGACCCTGCGGCTACGGGTCTGCCCCGGATCCGTCTCTTCAGCTCTCAGTCTCCGCTTTTTTTTCATCATAAATTTAAGGAACTGGTTTGGATGATCTCTAAAGCAGGGTCCAGATGCTTTTTGACAGTCGGGTCTAGGCGATTTGGAGGGCCAGGAACTGGAAACTGAGCAGGTTGTGAACTAGAGGTTAGATGGCAGTAAAAGTTGACAAGAGGAGAGAGAAGGAAGTGCCTGGGGGCAAATACTGGGAGAAAGGCTATGACTCCATGGTTAGCAGGTAGGGAGAGTGGAAGAACTCGGGGCTGCGTTTGGGTAAGTTTCTCTGTGTAATTTAAAAAAAAAAAAAGGAAAGAATAAAAACCAAGTCTGGTCTCTTTCGCGTAGCCTGGGGCCGAGAGTCTCAGGCGGAGAAATTCAGGCGGACCACCCCGAATCCCCAAGAGCCTCACAGTTCACCGAAGAAGGCTCTTGGAAGGGGTGGATCGTGGTGGGCGCTGAAGACACATCGAAGGCGTGGCATTCTCGTCTGTCCTCCCGGGTCCCAGGTCCGCCGGCGGCCCTCGCCGCGCCCCGCCCCACACCTCCATTCCCAGGGCCCGCGGGGGACGCGAATTCCTAGAAGCCTAAAAGAGGCTGCCCAGGGCTGGAAGTTAGTTCCCCAAGAACGCTGGAGGTACGTGCTCGCACACACCCTCCGGTCACAGAAAGGCCAGGTGAGGTGGGGTAGGGTGTCGGGAGGGAGAACGCCCTCCTCGCCACCCACGTCTGGCCTGCAGCCCGGCTCCAGCCATCCCGCCCGCCAGGCTGACCCGCAGGCAACCGGTGGGGAGGTGGGCCAGGCAACGGCAGGCCCGGAGAGGATGGGCGGGGCCGGGCCGGCGGCGCCCAGGGGCTGCTTGGGTACCTCTGTGGCACCCGCCCGACCTCTGCGGGCTCCATTCAGAGCGGGGACGGTGAGTCAGATCTCCGGCACCCGCGGGTCGGGCGGGGAGTGGGGGCAGGTCAGGAAATGACATCAGAGGCCTGTGCCTGAGAGCG